ATTTTATTTTGGTAAATTTGATTGGCTAGTGGAGTTCGGAAATCACTTGATATCGAATTATTTTTCTGCCACCACTGATCTAACTCGTAAAAATAAACTTTCGCTAGTAGAATTCAGATAAAAATTTTCTTTATAAAATTCGGCAAAGTTATTGAAACAACTTCAATTAAAGTTTTGAATTAAATTTTTGAAATTTTTTAAATGTTTAATTTTTTAAAACTTTGAGCATATCCTGACAACTAGTGATGGGCAAATCGCGGTTTTTCCAAATGTTCAGCGCGTGATCGCGCGTAATTCGCGGAATAGAGATTACCTTGTGGGTTTCTTAAAATTTTTTTAAAGCGGGCCGGCTGGCCTGGATTAGGGAGCATATTGCGTGGCATCAAAAAATCACGCGCATTTTGCGCGCGTGATCCGCGCGTGATCTCGCGCGGATCCTGCGCATGCCCATCACTACCGACAACCAAATTCGCTAAAAATTTTATATTAGAACTCTGAATTCAGATAAATTTTTCATCAAATTTATTTGGTTATCGAAAATTAAAATTTTATCAAATAAAACTCAGTAGAATTTAAATAAAAAATAAAAAAAAAGATTGTTTATTCAATTAGTTGCGATTATTCGATGTGTCTTTAATGAAAATTTTTTTAAAAAAATTAAAATGCTTTAATCAGAAACCAGAAAAAATCATCTCGACAACATTAGGACTTAAAATGTTCACAAAAAACGTTTTCAGCGCAAAATAATTTGAAGTTCTATACTAAACTGCCGCAAACGTTTTTTGCGAATTCTTGGGATCTAATGGACTAAATTTAACGATTTTGGTACCATTCAAACCGTCTCATAGAGACACATAGAATGGTACTAAAATTGCTAAATTCAATTACTAGATTATGGGACATTAAACTTTTTTAAATTATGTTTAAATCGCAATATCTCGTTGTACAGTAAATAAAATTTGGCAATTTTAGTATCATTCGAACTGTCTCATCGAGTCGGATTGTATGGTATCAAAATTGTTAAATTTTGTTCACTGTATCACGAGATATTGCAAAATTTGTTCGAAACCGGCCCCCTATTTGTAATTACGTACTTTGATTTTGGACACTTAAATGTAATTATTTACATTTTTTGGGCCCTTATTTGTAAATTCCCCCTAAAATGAACGTTAAGGCATCTAGCACCAACTACAATCAACCCTTAGAAATGTGCGCACTATCTTCGAAACTTATTTTAACATATTGTGCAATATTTACAATAATAATCCAGGTATTCTCTATAAATGTATTCTCACCTTGGAACTATAATCAAATTTTACAAAAATGTGCGTTTGGATAAGACGTATTTTATGGTAGGCAATTGGGATTAGTGCCCTAGTGTATTTAATACAGTATCTACTGAAACGATCAAACTATATGCAAAACTACTAACCGAATATACAAATCTTACGTCATGCGGGCGTCACTATAATTTTTTAACGCAGTGACGATGTTTCACAAAAGCTCATTACGTATATCGATATTGTTACTATGAAAAAAAACTACGTTAATCCTTTTTTTTTTTTTTTTATTATTATTAAAAAAAAAAAAAAAATGCTTATGATACCTAACGAATGCCTTATTGAAATATTTAAAAATCTTCAAACTTATTATAGATGTTTATTTTCATGCCTTCTTGTAAATCGTCGATGGTGTAGAATTATTATACCAATATTATGGAGAGAACCAAAAACTTATTTTCAAAATGAAAGGATTATAAGAATATGTTTTTTAACATTAAATTCTGAAGAACAAACATTATTAATTCCTTTTAATATAAATTTTCCAAATTATCAAAAACCATTATTTGAATATACAAATTATATTACATCTATTGATGATAATTTAAATATTGGAATTACAAAATGGTTTAAATATTTATTTAGATCAAATGAATCAAAAATTTTAAGAGCTGTTAGATTTTCTTTTATTATAATGTTTTTACGAACAAGTAAAAACCTAAAATATTTAAATTTCGAGGGATCTATTTATAATGAAGCAATGTTTATAAAAAGACTTAATGGGAATACTACAGTGACTTCCTTAAGTATTAGTAACAATATTCTACTTGGAACTAAAGAATTAAAAGAGATTCTTAATGCAGTCACTAATATGACTTCCTTATATATTGATAAGATTCCACTTTATATTGAAGTATGTGAATTAATAAGAAAATTTCTGTACAAAAATATTAATTTAGTATCTTTAAGCCTTCATTATAACTTAATTAGTCTTGAAGGAACTAAAGTGTTAGCAGAAGTTCTTTGTAATAATTCAACGCTAACTTCTTTAAATCTTGTTGGTAATAATCTTGGCTCTGAAGGAGGAAGAATATTAGCTGATGTTCTTTGTAAAAATTCGACGTTAACTTCTTTGAATCTTAGTTCTAATAATCTTGGCTATGAAGTAGGAAGAGTATTTGCCGATGTTCTTTGTAAAAATACAACATTGACCTATTTTAATCTTAGTAATAATCAACTTGGTACCAAGGGAGGTGAAGCATTAGCAAAGGCTCTCCACAAGAATACAGCTCTGACTTCTTTGAATCTTTACGGTAATCAATTTGGTTCTGTGGTTGGGAAAGCATTAGAGGAGGCCTTTTATAATAATACCACCGTAACTTCATTAAATCTTGGTGATAATAATCTTGGCTTTAAAGGAATTGTCTCACTAACGGGGATTATTTGCCAAAACACTAGTTTGACTTATTTGAATCTTAAATCTTGTTCATTTGATCTTGAAAGGACTAAAAAATTAGCGAATGCCCTTTGCACAACTACTAGTCTAACTTCTTTATATCTTGAAAATAATCGACTTGGTTCTTCGGGAGGGAGAGTATTAGCGGATGCACTTTGTAAAAATTCTACTCTGACCTCTTTGAATCTTTCCTGGAATAAACTTGGTAATGTAGGTGTAGTAGCATTAGCAAATGCTCTTTGTAAGAACACAACTTTAGTTTCTTTGAATCTTGAACATAATCAATTTGGTTATGAAGGTGAAAAAGCAATAATAGAGGCACTCTGCAAGAACGCAACTTTGGCTTCTTTAAGTCTTGATGAAATTGAACTATACTCTGAAGTAATAGAGTTGGCAGAAACTCTTTGTAAAAATACTACTTTAAAAACCTTAAATCTTCGATATAGTCGAATGCGTTTTAAAGACATAAATATATTAAAAAAAATCCCTTACATAAATATTATAGTATTATACATTTTAAAATAATTAAATTAGGATGTTAATATAGCGTTTTCGAAATTAAGTTTAAAAAATCGAACTTGCAATTAAGTAAGAGAATGAAATGGGATGTCTGGAGACTCCCATTTCATAAAATAAATTTTTTTTGGTTTATGAATGTAATAGTTTCAAATAGCTTAAACTTAATTTGATATTAAAAATGATTATATAAATAGGAGTTGATTAAATGACTTTGAAATACGTAGTTTAATTCAACAAAAATACGTCATTTATTTCATCCGAAATTAGATGTTCGCAAATTTGATTCCGAAACCCTCAATATGTTAAAGTTTTAAATTTGATCTATTAAAAGTTTTTACAGTATGAATAAAAATTCTTTCGTGTAAAAAAAGAACAATTTTACATAATAAAAAGAGTTTAATTCTTATATTTAAATTATCTACTTCGATAAAATAAAGTACCGGTAATTCTTCAAACATCTACAATAAGCTTCTTCGATGAAAACTTTAATATTTTGTAATTTCAATACGATTACAGTAAAAAAAAACGTAGTAATTCTAAAATTTTTATGTTTTTTAGTTTCTTGACGATTTTTTAAGGTTCGTGAACTAGAATTAAGGGGATAATTGGTTAATTTTAAATGAATACTTGTTATACAGAAACCGGTGACTCGTCACCGAGTATTATCTATAACTCAAATTCTCTGCAGTAACCATCCTTTGCTCTAGCATAACTAGATATTTGTGTATAAATGACGCATATAACTTATATTAGCTAAACTAACTTTAATTGCACTGAATTTAAAAAGCGGTAGTTCCCGTATTAAACCGATTAGCCTACACTGTTTTTTCTTTATAGCTTTAAATGTTAGATTCGATAATTAACAGATTTAATTGTCAATGTTAAATATTTACATAAGTGCAATATTGTTTAATAATCGCTCTTTGTAAACTTATTCCGAATAGTATTCAATTTCCCGCCTTCTCACTTTATTGTAATAATCTTTAAAATAGGATTATGTTCAAATAATGATATCTAATTTACGTTATTAGCTATTAGTTTTAGCGACAGCTGGCTAGGTTTTTATTTGGTTTTCTTATGAATTTGAAACACCTCATATTCCTTTACAAAATAATAATGATGTTTATTAGCTGGCACGATACCATTTGGTTTTCAAAATTACTACCATAATAAGTACTGGTATAGCACTTATCAGTTTGACTATTTCTCCTAAACATTTCAAGCTCATAACTACCAAAAACTATACTATAATTAACATTTATATAAATGGCACGTTCTGGTTTTGTAACACGACTTAAAGGGTGTTCTCAAGCGCCTAGATCAATTGATCAGATGCAAAATTTTAATTAGTCGGAGGTTGAAAAAACTGGTCAAGTGAGTTGCGATTTCAATGAAAAATTTCTGGAGACGCAGACCATCTTTTTTTTTCACAGAGTTAACGCTGATAGGCTAAAATTGCCTATTAATAGAGTACAAAGAGAGGTTGTTCAACGTCATGGATCTTCAGCGAAATTACAATCAGCGTCGAAAAATTATTACATTGCTTTTTATATTAAAAACTTTTATCGCCAATAAAAAATCACAAGAAACCCAAATAATAAAACTAGCAAATATTTATTATCTTTTAACTTTTATGTCAAATGCAACAATTCCATATATTCTTTCTTTACCTAATATAAAAGCCCAACGCCAACCAAGACCAAAAACGGGAGGATTCTGGATAGATATTTTTCCAAATTTAACAGATGAAGGAGGTTATAATTCATTTCGGCATCATTTTCGTATTACTCTTGCTAGCTTCAACTATATTGTTAGGCGATTAGAAACCCATTCAGCTTTTTTTTTCAGAAGCCCTTAATGCAACTCCCGTATGGAAGCAAATTGCCATTGTATTATGGAGATTTGCAAATGGAGCAGGCATACGAACATTGGAACAAACACTTGGAATTAGTCAGGGATCTGTATGTCACTTTACTGATCGGTTTTTAGAAGTATTATTAGATGTGGAAAAGGATAGAATAATGTGGCCACAAGGTGCTCGATTAACAGAAGCAACATATGGATTTGAATATAGTGAAACTAGTTTAGAAAATCGTAAATTGCCAAATGTTATTGGTGCTATAGATGGGTCACATATACCAATTCATCCTCCTTCTCAAAATGGTGCTCGATTTGTTAATCGTAAAAGCTTTCATTCTATTAATCTTCTTGGTATAGTTGATTTTCAAGAACATTTTACATATGTACTTATTGGAGAAGCAGGTTTAATAAATTATTTTTTTTATAATATATTTTATTTTATTTTATTTATTCATAAATAAATTTTTATAAAGGCAGTGTTAATGATGCTCATGTTAGTCTGATCTGTTGAATCGAAGCTCGATGTGAGAACTTTCTCAAATTAATTATACTATAATTTTTTCACCTGTAGTACGTATAGTTGTATAGTATGTATGGCATTACAATAAGCACAGTAAGCATAACATATAAAATAAAATAAATACAAAATTTTTCAAGGAATAATTATAATTATAACGCGAAAGACAGTTAATACCTTTATGATTTGTTCTATTCAAATTTTTGCGTAAAATAAGATCAATTACTGGAACAGGCATCTAAAAGATCGGATTATTAAAGAAATACAGACAGCACAAAATGGAGGTTGCTCAAAAAGATGAAAAAACTGTACAAGAAATAAATTATTATAATGTAAAATATAAGCTTAAAAGTATAATATATAGTGTCTTACGACGATCCCGTAATAATTTAACATCCTACGGAAAATTTTTTTTTTGTACTATATGCGGCACATCACTAATAATACTCCGCGTAAATTATATCCCACATCAGATATTGGAACTGGAAAATTATACGAATAAATAGATTTTAGTTTGTCACGCAATTCCTAATAAGAGTGACATTATCCAACTGCAACGATACTTTATTTCTTGCTGATTAAAAAAGACCGACTTTAAACAAACTAAATTTAATAACCCATCGATGAAATTGTAATTATAATAGAATTATATGGAGTGTCGTCAACTAAAAGGGCCCATTTTTACATTTTTCAAAAAAACGAGTTTTTATTAGATTCATGTATATTTTGACATGATTGACATTTTTCAATTATAAATGAAAGTCGATTTGCATAATGAAAAATAGAAGAAAAATTATACGAGGCCAAGCACATCACGAGATTACCCGATAGTCGCCTGTTACTTTTAACGAAAATCAATTAAACTCAATTATTTCATAATGAGATATATGTAAAAATGGGCTGACGACACTCCATATTTTAAAGAAATTTAGTTTTTTTCACATATGCGATTTATCGCTACCCTGATCGTGTAACGTGAAATCAAAACAAACCCTTTGCGCGTTAGTATAGGGTTAGGGTTACATTAGGGTTAGGGTATCATCATTTATTTAAATTTATTTAATAATTTTATTTGGTATGTAAAATATGTAACGATTAAAAAATACATATCAATTACATAAAAAATTACATTACCCATCTCTATTTAAAATAGTTTCGGTATCCTAAAATATTTTTGACATCCGAAAAATATTTTCGGGATCCTAAAAATAATTTCTGCATCCGAAAATATTTTGGCATCTAAAATAGGGATATTGCTAATGATAAATAAATTCTTATTAGAAATGATTAATTAAAAGCTGAGTTCAAAAAATCGGATAATGTTAAGTAATAATCCAAAATTATTTACTATTTTCTACTTTTTTTTTTCTTTTGTTTTTGTCTCGTTGGCTTTAGACGATCTCCTTATGCACTAAGAAGTCTCTAAATTTCCGAAAGCTGGTGATTGCCCTGTAAAAAATTGTGCAAAGTCTTGTAGCTTGATCACATGCTAGTGCCTACTTCCTTATTTTGAGGTCGTTTGGGTAACGAGCGATATAATATTACGGCGAGTTTGTGAAATTTGGACATTATCCTAATGTAGCGTCATACATTACGTATTACAATAATCAAGTTGAAAGTTCTTTATACGGCAAAGTTGCGCAGTGAACAATGAGATGATTATTAAAAGAAGCAAGTAAAGGTAAAATTTATTTTGCCATTACAAAACTAGACTTTACTAAAATCAATAATTTGAAGAGCACTACCGATTGATAGATTCCATTAATTAGTATGAATAAGGATCGCGAATTAAAATTAAATACATGTTTATGTCTACGAAGCAAGGACCTACGAAATCTGTGGTATAATTTAATAAAATCTGTTTTCGATAATAAATTATGTGATTTACTGCTGATTAAAATTAAAATACCGATTTAATAATAATAATGTCTACTTAGCTAACAAAATTTTATCTCGTAAAAAAAAACAAAAAACTTTGCAATTTTTTAAAAAGTGAGTTGCACTAAGATTTTATTATATTTTTTACATGCTAAACAAATATTATAATAATAATTTTATTATTAATAAATTTGACTAAAAAAAATACTATTATCGATATAGCTATTTGATATACAGTATGTGAATTTTTAGTGCAGTCGTTAATAACATGGTTGCATAATAATTTTATGAATTTTATACGTAACAAAAATGTATACGTAGTGTTTTAATACAATGTTAATAAATTATATATATATATATACATTTGAGTATTTAAAATCTACTATCTATTTATGAAGACTGGTCCGGATTAATCTTAAGTGAATACTACGGATTTACTTATTTCTCGAATACTACAGTACTATATAGAGAGTACTTCAAACGTAATATTATAATATAAAAACGATTCTTATCTCAAATTATAATGTTTTTTATCTTCACAAACCTGCTAAATCAATATTTGATTTTTCCTTACTGAACATATCGGTAAGTTGCAGGTTTTAGGATAACACTTGATTTATTGTGATAACAGTTTCATGAGTTGTATCAATATTTGCTTTATGCTCATATTGACAAGGTCAACATTTTGAGAAATTAAACCGGAGGGAAAATTGAAATCAGACAAAAAGAAAAATATAGTAAAGATGACATAAAATACGTAGTATTGGTGATAACAAATCTTATTTGAGGACAAATCGGTACGGTGCATACAAGCTAAAGACAGCCAATATATTTGTTTATGACTACTACTTTTTATTAAGCTAAAAACTCATTAATAAGAATAGACCTCAGTGAATCTAATAACGATTAAATTTTTTCAAAATTCTAAATATTAAAAAAGTATAAGATGAATATACATTTTAATTGGCTAAATAGTTTGTTACACAATATTTATACAAAATGATTAGTAAAGATGCTCAAGAGTTACCTTTATGTCAAATGTTACGGCATTACGTCACTTTTGACGTAGCGTGTAAGTTGTCATATGCCATTTTAGTTGACGTTTGCCATAGATGTTGATGTATGCCGTATGAATTGACATACCCGTAACTTGCCGCATAAACCACTCGAGGTCTCTTACATTTCACCCTCTTATTTATGATAATTAGTAAAAAATCACGTGGGGACTTTTATAATGGGGGTGGTTTATGCGGCAATTTACGGGTTAACGTTGACATATGAGTTGACGTATATTGTACGTATGAATTCCACATATAAAAAATATTCGCCAATACAAATTATAAAAATGGCAAAATTTTGATGGAATTTAGAATACAAAAACCTATAAAAAACTTTGTACAAAAATTTTAACTACTCGACTTAGCTTAGTCTTTACTTCTCACAAAATTCTTAATCCATATAACTATATAGCTCTACCAGGAAACAGTACAAATACTCCAATACATATTTTTAATAATATCATTGAAGATTCCTACTGTAACAAAAAAGAGCTATGGCTTCTGTCTCAGGACATGAGCAAAGCCTATGACTCAGTTAACCTTGATCTTCTCAAACTAGCTCTTGAACGCATCCAAATCCCTTCCTAACTATGCAATATTATAACTAATCTACTAACAAACTGTACAAACAGAGTTATTACAAATCTAGGTCTTACA